ATGTGATGAAAGGCAAACACACATCTATCAGAACAGGAATTTCAGGAAACAACTAAAACGTTGCTGAGAGGCTGAGGTAGGACCTGGTTTATCTTGTATGACAGGCTACCAATTTTAACAATAACTCAAAAAGGTCATCTTTGATATATTCTATATTCACTGCATGTAAAGTAAAACATGTCAAGTTTTTTGTTTGAACTTTGATTACTTTGGCTTATAAGTTATGAAAGTCAGAACCCCCCCCCTTTTTTTAAATAGTAGAATATTTCATTTCAAATGTTTGTAAATTACTATACAAACAGCATAAATACCATGTACCTCTTCATCTAGTTCAGTACATGCAACCACAATCATGGAAGAGACTGCTGACTGGAAAACTGTCCAGAAGATGAGCATCAACACCCTCCACAAGGAGGACTGACCCCAGAAGTTAATTGCTGAAAACGAAATTCACTGTTCCAAAGCACGTTAACACAAAGTTGACTAGAAAAGGAAAAGTGTGCTATGAAAAGGTGCACAAGCATGACTGCAGCCTGAAGGGGTCAAAAAAAAGAAAAATAGAGAAGGTGTTTCAAGAACTTGGGAGAGGTTCACAAGGAGTGAACTGGTGCTGGTGTGCAACAAGAGTCACGAAGCACAGGGGTCTTCAGGAAAGGAGCTAAACTGTCGTATTTCTGACATCAAGCCATTCCTGAACCAGAGACAATGTCAGAAGCGTCTTACCTGGGTGGAGGACAAAAAGAATTGGACTGTTGCTCAGTGGTCCAAAATCCTCTTTTCAGGTGAAAGTCAATTTTAAATCTCAGATCTGAAAAAGCAAATCATTGACTTGAAGAAGTCATAAAAGTCCCTTGGTGCCATTTCAAAGCAGCTGTAGATCCCAAAGTCCTCTGTGCAAACATTGTTCTGTAAGTATGAAGTGCATGGCACAGTTGTGTCACTGCCACCATCGGGGGAAAAAAGTCACCTGCTGCTGAGATCAAAACGCAGGTCTACAATGAATTAGAAGCTGCTGGAACACATGCATCAGTGTCCACAGTCAAGTGTATTTTACATCAGCATGGGCTGAGAGGCTGCCATGTTGGAAAGAAGCCCTCCCTCCAGAATGGCTCCTTAAAGCTCAGCTCAAGTTTGTTGCTGATCACGTGGACAAAGAAGCTTATTGTAGAAAATTAAGAGTTACAGGAGTCATAGGGAACTCAAAACTGCCATGACATCTGTAAGTAACTCAAATGTTACTTATTCTGTAGATATTGAATGTTGTTATTATTGTATTTCATTAGTTAATGCGTTAATTTCAATTTGTCATGCAATAAGAAGCCTCGTGACTGCACCTGGAATTTCGAGGGTGCGATTATATTTGAAATTATAGTCGCACGGTGCGGCAATAGAAAAATGAGCAAAAATTATGCCCTGCGCCTCAACAATGGCTGCAGGGAAAAAATAAATCAACAAGCTCCACACCCGCTGGCTGACTGAAGCGCGCGAACCTACGGGCCGTCATGCAGCCTGCAAGTCAACTGATCATGATTCGCGAGTCAACTTGCTAAATGATCAGCTGACCGTAATCAGCGAATCAATCAGCAAATTGATAAAGACAAACAACAAGCATGGTTAGTAAGCGTGGGTATGATTGGCCAGAAGTTTCTGCGACCCTGTGGCCTTTCTCTGACAAGATGAAGCGCTCTATTGCTGAGTATTTTTCGAAGGCTTCTCAGCCTTCTGTTTCAAGAGAGCGAGAGCACCCTGAGCCACCGAACAGCCAAGAAACCCCTGATTAACCGGAGCCCGCGCCCGATGCGAATGTGGAGCACAAGAGCGATGTGGAACCCAATAACGATGTCGAAAGCTCGGACAGGGATGATGAGCCCATTGCCGAACCTATTCTTTTAAAGTTCAGTTAAGCTTCGTAACCACTTCCTAACTTCAAGTATCCTCCAGTGGAGGACCATCTGCAGAGATGTGGATGTGTCATGTGTCAAGAAGTCTGTGGAATAAAGCAGTTGATTGTAACCAGTGATGAAAGAAAAAAATATATATAATGATAAAATAATTTAAATGGTTATATTTATGCAGTGATTTGTACTATAAAGTATTTATTTTTCATTGAACCTCGTCAGTTGTGATGATTTTTAAATTCAAAATCGCAGAATTTTCACAATTTCCCATTGAAATGCTTGGAAGAGAAGCCGGTGAGGTCGCGGTGAACTGAGCCTCACCTTATATTGCGCAATTCCTCACTGCGCAGGCTGCCATGCGCAGGCTGTCACTTCATGGCAGCCAGTGCAGTGAGGAATTGCGCAATCTAAGTGAGACAGCAGCGAGCTCAGCCTCACTTGGATTGCGCAATCCCTCGCTAACTGCACTGGCTGCCTGCAGTGACAGCGTGCTGCTGTCTGGATGTCGCCAATAACACNACATAATTAAAAACAACACAGAAATCAATGCCATCAGTTTAGTCATAGAAACAATCAGTTTTCAGTCGTTTAATTCACCCAATTATGACAGAATAACAAATAAATTCTGTTGTTTGGTAAAACCCCCCCATGCCCCCACGGTAGATCCGCCACTGAGCACCGCAGCCACCAACAGCAGCTCCCACAGCCTGCTCTGTGGCGCGTTTGGGGAACATTGTAAATTGTAGAGTCCATCGATAACAAAATGTTCAGGAAGTCATATGTTTTTCCTGTGACAAAGTGAGAAGTGCGAACAAATAAGAAAGTTGGTCACACCAGTAAAAAAGTTAGTCTGGATTGCTGTGTGGCGTGACCATTAGTCAGTAAATGGCTACATATGCAGTGATGTATGGTGTGGCTCTAATTTGACTCCTTGCCAGTGGAAAAGCAACCAGTTATTTTGAGGTGCAAGATTTGAACCAAGTAAGCACTGGTCCTAACACCAGCACAGAACTAGCACCTGATTCTTCTTGGTGGAAACGGGGTGACACTGAATCTTTTCTTCAACAGATTTGATTCTGCGCTCATCGCTCCCTCCACTCATCAAAGCACTGACCAGCCAGCTCCTTGTTCACACCTCAGTTCTATACCACGGGTCTTTAACTTAATATTTGAATTAGTCAGACACTTTTATATCATGAATAATATTGTAGGCTCTTAATATTTAAACTTTTGAGGCAAATTAGTGACATTGTGCTTACTTCTCTACTGGAAAGCACTTTGACTCAGTTGCTGTTGTTTTAAATGTGCTGTATAAATAACAGTGACCTGACTACATCATAAGATCCTATTAACAAATCACACTGATGACCTATGTGGTGATGAAAGAAGAAAGAAATAACACCAAGTCTTTACTGAAACAGCAGAATCTGCAAACTAGCTTGACATGTTTTGTTTTTTTTAACATTTGTGGGTGTGTATCAGCTACAACCAGTAAAACCAGTTGTGTGTTTCTTCATAACATAACACTTTTGCTGGGGCTCATCAGTGTTAAAGTCATTATTAAACAAGTTGTAAATGTTAATCTGTTTAAATATATTCACAACATTTCAAAGGCACTCATGGAGCTGCAGAGTTTTTTTTTTTAAAGTTTATTTACAATCAATGTGGAGTTTAAAACAAGTTTAGCATTTCCAATAATCCATAAAGAAATAAATCACTGATGAGGAACAAACAGATGACAGATTAAATTCATGACATATGGCTGTTGTTTTCACACAGTTTGACCTGTACAGCATTACAGCCGGTGGAGATCACATTTTAAATCACACATTAAATCAGTAAAGGTGGTTTCTGTTTGGGGAATTTGCTGCAATGTATGTGACATTTTTCTAATGAAGAAATTAGATTAATGACATTTAAAGATGTAACGATGGATGTGGAACGAAACACTGAGACTGTCTTGACTGTATCAACTACCTCTTCAGGTACCCACAGAAGTCCACTTCATCTCCTCAGCTGTCTGTCTTTGAAACATGACAAACAAACAAAGGAGGTTCATGTCCAGATCTCTTCTGTTGCAATGACACCCTCTGCTGTGTCCTACTGTCATAACGCCTCAGCATTTCTTTGCCTCCTTTTACTTTAAAGACAGCAGCACTCGAGCTGCTTGGACTCCAGCAGTATGTTCACACATGATCAACCACGTTCTTCCAGCAGGATGTGAAAATGTTCCAAAGAGCTTCACAATATCTCACATCACTGCTATGCTGATGAAGGATGAAGGATGATACCAAAAATGCAGCAGCCTGTACCAATACTACATTTATCCAGATGTTCAGCCTGGTTCTTCTCCCAGCTCCACCACCACCACAGTCCAGACTCCATCTGGTCTAATCATCACAGACTGCTGACATATTTCCTCACAATTATTGTTGAAGCACAGTCTGAAGCTGCTTTAACACTTTTCACCTGTTTAATTGATAGTTTCCACAGATGTTTCAGAATGATGGCTTCTGACCTGTGCGAGTTCTCATGTGACGCACCAAGGTACACTGACGAAAAAAACTTCCACATGTTTCACAACAATATGGCTTTTCCTCTTTGTGGATTACTGTGTGCATTTTATGTCCTCATAGGGCAGAAAATCTTTTCCACAGGTTTTACAAGAGTACGGCTTCTCACCTGTGTGAGTTCTCATGTGGGCTTTCAAACTACATCCCTTACTGAAACTTTTTCCACAGGTTTTACAAGAGTACGGCTTCTCACCTGTGTGAGTTCTCATGTGGGCTTTCAAACTACTTCCTTGAATAAAACTTTTTCTGCAGATTTTACAAGAGAACGGCTTCTCACCTGTGTGAGTTCTCATGTGAATCACCAACTTATCCTGACGACAGAAACTTTTCCCACAGATTTTACAAGAGTACGGCTTCTCACCTGTGTGAGTTCTCATGTGGACTTTCAAACTACTTCCTTGAAAAAAACTTTTTCCGCAGATTTTACAAGAGTACGGCTTCTCACCTGTGTGAGATCTCATGTGGACTTTCAAACTACCTCCTTGAGTAAAACTTTTTCCGCAGGTTTTACAAGAGTACAGCTTCTCACCTGTGTGAGTTCTCATGTGACGCATCAAGGTATCCTGATGACGAAAATTTTTCCCACATGTTCCACAAGAATATGGGCTGTCCTTGTGGTAGATTGCTGTGTGAATTTTATATACTGATAGGCCAGAAAATCTTTTTCCACATGTGTTACAAACGTACGGCTTCTCACCTGTGTGAGTTCTCATGTGGATTTTTAGCTGAGCTTTTTCGCTGAAACTTTTCTCACATGACTTACAAGCAAACAGCTTCTCATCTGTATGACTGCTGTAATGTTTCTTCATGTCGTATCTATTTTTAAAGGCTTTTCC